TCGCTTACCACAACAAATGTTACTGCTGCCGCTGCCAGAGAAACCACGGCTCATCTATTTATGTTTTCTTCATTCGCGGATACCCACACACACACACACACATATCCATGGGGACTAGACCTATATCAAGATAAAGTTCCTTTTCTTATATATATTTTATTTACTTATCACTTTTCATCTTAATTTTTTTTCTTCTGACTTTGTAGCTATCGCATGATATTGTCTCTGTCGTTCAATTTTCAACAAAAAGTCATAATTCTTTTATTGTTTCAGATCGTGTGTGTATGTGTGTGTTTTCTTCTTTTTCTTCTGTTTGTGAGTCGGTTCTTCAATTGTTCTCTCTGTTTGGTTCCTTGGATATTATATGTCGTGATTTCGTTTACGAATGTTACTTATTTCTCTTAAACCTTCGTTGGTGTGTATGTGTGTATTGGGCATCGCTCGATTGCCGAACATTTTTCACTTCGGGATTATCCGTGCACGCGAGCTCCTGTTGTTGTTTTTTTTTTCTCTTCTCCTTTGTTCATTTCAAACACACATACATGCACACAGCAGCACACATGTGTGTTGGTGCTATTTCCACTAATGCCTTCGTACACTACATGTAAGAACACACACACCATCGCTACACATACAACAGGGCTAAAGTGGTATGCGCTCAGAGCTTAAGCTTATACACAAGTCGAAGTGAATGCAAACATTGTCATGTGATTTTACCGAAGCAGTGCAATAAAAAGAGAACGACATACATATTGACAGTCGAAGTGCATGCGAGCGAGACAAGTGCTCGCATAACTGGTGGACGAATAAGAGGGTAGGAAGATAAGGCACAGGCAGTAGAAGAGAAGTGAAAAGAAACATAACAACGAAGAAAGAAATGCACACACATAAACAATTAAAGAGCGAGCTAAGGAAAAAAAAGGTGAAAGACAAACAGAACCAAGAAGTCTAGTAAAACCGATTTTCAGTTTGAATTTATAATTCAGTTGTTGAAGACGTTGTTGTCTAAATGCGTACACACTCGAACTAACGACAGAGAACTGTGTGTGTTGTGTATTATTTTTTTTTTTATTCGATTACACCAGTGAAGAGCATTTTTCTACGTATTATTTTGGATTATCATTGGAAATAAAATCGGACTTTTCATATCAATTTGTGTTCAGTTTATTTGCATGTTTAATGAAAATCAAAGCAAAGCAATAATATTTTATCAATAGTTTTGATAAATTAAAAACAAAAGCAAATAGTGAGAATTTAATGGAGAAAAAAAGACTTTTTCGAACAGATATTTCGATTTGCCGACAGACTCAATGGAATTAAGAGCATGTGAATTGTGCAGAATAGATTTCTGATAGAAAACAAACTGAACTGAACAAAAGTTGAATACCTCAAGTGTACATGAGTGTGTTTTTTGTGTGCTAAATCTGAATTCGAAAACATAACGGAGTTATTATTTGATTTTTATTCTAATTTTCGAAAGGTAAGAATTAATTGGCCAAAATTTCGAAGTCAATCACCACTTCTGACAAGAACCAATCAGTGTTTTCGTATTTGAATAGTGGCTCTTCGAATGCAATCGCATAAAATCAACCAAAAAATGGCAACTCTCCTTCAAATCAACGCTTTTTTACTTGAAATGTTGAGTTTTTGTGCTCGATCCGAATTCCACGTGAAGAACCAAATGGAACTTATACCAAATAGACCATCAAAAACACCATATTATATCCCGTTGATTGTGCCCCTCGTATGCATTTGTAAAGATGCATTGTGAGGCTTATCGGCCAATTTTATCGGTCGGATATCTTGCTGTGCATTGTTTAATGCACGATCACTCTAATTGTCTTCGTATAAACATTTTCAATCCTCATTTTTCGTTGTTCTTGTTTTTCAAAATGTTTTTGTGTATAATTGCAAAAATTTGGGACTCACATTTGTTTGTGCAAGTTAATATACAATTCTAGGAAGCCACTTTATGTCAAAAGTGAACTAATGACCACCAAGCCATTGTACGTAAATCCGTAAATCAGCCCATCAGAACATCAATCCGTCCTTTTTCCGAGAAATAATATATTGTTTCAATAAATTGGTCATTGTGGGTATGGGAGCAAAGATAAAGCCATAGTTGTTTGAATCGTGTCATACAAATCGTTTAAAAGTGATAAAATTATGGGCATTTAGCCGATAATACCGATTCAGATTAAAAAGTGATTCGAAAAGAACGCAATTTTATCGTGCGAGAGGCGCTGCATTTTTGATGTTCTCTCGCCACTTCACTCAACGTTCACTTAAAATCAATTATGAAATCATATAAATAATTGTGATCATAATGATTTGTGTGTTTGATTGATGCGACATGTGTACATCGTCGGGTCTAATCACTTGTTTCTCATTCCATTTCCATTCTCGCGCGTATATCACTCTTATGTGTCGTATATTTTTTTCATAAAATCTATCTATCACACACAGTACAAAATTATTGCCAACACTATAATTGTAACGGAAAATGCAATTAATCTTTGTGTGTATGTGCACGAGTGTGCTTTTCTAAAACATTGAGACGAATGGCGCAATGTGCTTTGTGTTGCTGAAATTGTTCCGTCCATTCATGTTCAAAAAGATTTGTGCCGCTAAAGGAAATCCACCATCAAATGCGATTGTCTCCATATTAGAATTTCGCCAAAACTAGAACTGGTTGTTTGATGTGTGCATGCCGCCACCACTTCCTTTCGCACAAGTTTTGCGCGCGCTCATTTTCTTTTGCCATACAAAATTGGTGGTAATCATAATTATTATGTGTGAGGTATCGAACTAAATGCGATAAATGTGATAAATATGATTTGTTCCGTACACTACAACTTGGAGGAAAAAAAACCGCATGCACATTGTGTGTATGCCATATGTGATCGCGTTCAAGCCAACCATTTAAGGAATTTTACTAGTGCAAAACATAGCAATTTGTGAATGAATGTGCTCATCTTATACGGAGAGCATCGTACAAAATGTAATCGTGCCATTAAAGCTGGCACGGATGCGCAAAGCCAAAGCGCATATCTATCTATCTATGATGTTGTTGCATGCAACATGATTGAACACACACATATCATACATTTCATACTTGCACTTGTCGGTTCATCTAGACTTTTTCTTTCGTTGCCTTCTTCACTCTTGTCTTGAAATTAGACTAATACATTGAACAAATGATGGAAAATTATAAACCTATTTAAGACGGTTTAAACATTATTGCTTTTAAATTATGGTTATTTCATCGGAGATTTCGTTCAAATGTTGTGTGTGTGTGTGTGTGTGTGCGTTTCCCTTTTTTTATCATTTCACATCATCTGGTGCAGGTCGGTGCTTGATCTGACCGATTCAATATATGCCGACCGATTGCAAAGCGAAAAAGAGAAAAAAAAAGAAAGAAACAATATTCGAACAAAGAAAATTGTAAGATATTGATAAAGAAAGATCTTTAAATCGATAAAATCGTATGACGGCATGACTATAGAGTCAAAAGTTACACCAACTGATCAACAAGCCGAAATAGAAAATAGACATAAAAAAAATTGTAAGATAGATTGAACAAAAAAAATAGCAAATATGCACAACCATAGTGTCGGTTCATATGTTTTGACAAAGAACAACATTAAAGCAGAGGTAGCCATACAATGCATACACACGGCAGGCGTAAAAGGCAACATCATCAATATTTACAAAACTACCTGTTTCTATTTTTGTTTAATTTTCTCATTCGTATTTCTTCCTCGTTTACGTATCCATTCTTGTAATTTCACGTGTGTTCTAGGCGATTTTCCATCCTCTCTTTTTGTTTTTCTATGCCTATGTCAATGTGTGTTCGGTCATGTTATTCCTTTGTATTAACAGCGTTAACTGTTTGTTACACTGATCGTAAATTAACAATGCCATCTATACTTCACACTGGAGTGCATCGAACAAGCCAGCCCGAGTTGGCTGCCGCTGCCTTGCGATTTTTCTTTAATTTTTCGTCTTGAGTTAAAACTTAATGTCATCCCGTATTAGATGGTGATTTAAACCAGAAAAAAAAAACACATACCCACACACTTTCATAATGCCAAATGTGCACATGTTAATAATATTTTGCTTCTTGGAATAAATTATCATTTCTTACTATGCAAATTTTACTATTGTCATAACACCGAATTCGGGATTAAGAATAATAGTTGAGAGAAAGAGAGAAACTGTACGCCTTATTTCGCATCAGATCCTTCTGAAGGGGCTTGAAAAGCCAACCAAAACAAAAATACCATTTACAATGAGGCTATAAAATTGGTAACAAGTTCATCTTGACAAACAAAAACAGCATCTCTACTGAAATAATGCATCCTTTTCACACTTGCACCCAGTGTGCACTTACCTAAATCCAGCATCGCAGCACTCTCTTAGTAGCAACTAATTCCTTTTCAAACAGAAAAAGAGAGAGCGATAGGAACAAAGCAAAAACAAACGAATATCTTGAACAAAGAATAAAACAAAAAAAGGTATTTTTTTTTGGTTTGTAGTATGATTAAAAAGTCTTAAAAACCCTGCACCGACCGATGCGATAAAGATGCTGAGTTCTTCATGAAAGAATAAAAAAACAAATCCTTGTATAATTACTCTTCAGTTGTTTTCCTCTCTCTAGTGTTTGAGCTTAGTTAAGTGTTTTCAAGTGAAAAACACCGATCATATCAGCGCCGTACTCAGAAATTTTTTTTGGAGGGTGCAAAATCGATTTTTTTTTTGTTCATTTTTTTCTTTATGGTGCAACAAAAATTTTGTTGCACCTTTGAAATTTTTGGAGGGTGCAATGCCAGGGTACGGCGCTGGATTATATGTATCCGCGAATTGACCTGCATACAATTTACAACACAGTTGTTGTTCTTTTCTTCTAATATTTTTATTTGATTAAAAAAATTCTATGAAAAAAAAAATATTTACATAAAAAAATGAAAGTTTAACAAAATTTTTCTGTTTCATTCCAGAGGTGCAAGCGACCATGCAGATGTATATTTATATAATTGCCATGCTGGTGACTTTACAGCCCTTTGTACAAGTTGCTGGCATAGACACAACAACAACACCAGCCACAATACACACAACAACGGCAAGTGCAACACAGCAAACAGACAGCGCTAAGCAAACACATTTAGACAGTAGTAGTTTAACAAATAGCGATAGTAAACAACAAATACACGAAAATGACGTGATCGATCCGCCACCGTCACTGTCGTCGTCGCCGTCGCCGAGTGTAGCGATGGATCACGATACAATAATCAAAGTCGAACAAAATTTGCTCAGCTTATTTGGACGATCAAAACGACCGAAGCCCATCGATCGATCGAAAGTTGTGATTCCTGAATCATTAAAATTACTCTATTCCGAGATAATGGGCGATGAGCTGAGAGAAACGGTGAATTTACCAAAACCAGGACTGCATGCTAAATCATCAAATACAGTGCGAAGTTTTACGCATGAAGGTATGTATCGACTTAAACATAAAATTTAATCGTAATATTAAGGTTTAAATTAAGTCTGATTAAAAATTTCGCGGTACACATCCATCTCACATTACACACACACACACACTAGTGTAAAGAATCCAATAAACAAACCGATATTGTTCATAGAATGGAACAAGGAACAGTTTCGTTTACACACAGTGCACAATAGTCGGAATATAAATTTCACTCTTTCGACTCGACGCGTGGAAAAATAGTGACGACTTGGGTTATTTATAAAAGTGACAAATAATCCGTTTATCGGAAAAGAGCGCGAGCACAAGATGTGCATTAGATTGTTGTCATTTATCAGATATGCTGATGCCGCCGCTGCTCAGCAAGAATTCTTTTGTGAATGGATTTGGACATGTTTTTCATGATGGGCATATAAATATCAAATGTAAATAATAAAATAAAAAAAAAATAAATTCCTTCATCCACTTTATCCGCAAATAATGATGCATAATGATGAGCAATAAAATAGCTTCGTGCTATAAATCTCCATATAATACTAATTACTGTCAAAATTAAGACAGCATCGAATAAGGCGTAAATTTTATTAATGAATCGCGATTGTGTTCCGGTTTTTGGTTCGATGCCGATGCAAAATATTCAACAAACTTATTGACTTGCTCATTCGATTATTATCTGCGCACAAGCATAGTATTTGAGAGTGTTTGATATGTGTATGTTATTGTTTTTCTCGATTCAATTCAGCTCTATCCACCGATAAAAACCGATTATCACTATTATATTCATTATAAATTAATGTGCGTTTTATTTCCTCTTCCCATTTTTTCTTAGAAAGTAAAATCGACGAGCGATTTACGCATCATCACCGTTTTCGTCTCTATTTCAATGTATCGACGATACCGAAAGCGGAAAAATTGAAAGCAGCCGAATTGGAAATTCAGCGCGATCCAATCATCGATGGAGACAATTTGCGGCACAAAGTTCTAGTATATGACATTGTACGGCCGGGTATTAAGGGCAAAACTGAACCCATTTTGTATTTGATCGATACGAAAACCGTTCAAATCAACACATCCGACACGATTAGTTTGGATGTGTTGCCGGCAGTTGATCGTTGGCTTCAAAATCCAAAAGAAAACTATGGCATTCTGGTGCAAGTGGTGATTGGTCATCAAAATCTACCACCCGCTCATCGACACGTTCGACTTCGAAGGAGCGTCGACGAAAAAGAAAATGAATGGGCTAAAATGCAACCATTCTTGATGACCTACACCGATGATGGTCGCTACAAGCAACGAGTAATCCGGGATTTGAAAACAAATCGAGGCCGAAGGACGCCGCATCGACGAAACAACAAACGACGTGGTGAAGGCCGTGAATTGTGCCAACGAAAACCGCTTTACGTTGATTTCAGCAATGTCGGCTGGGACGATTGGATTGTTACGCCAAACGGTTACGATGCATACTATTGTCATGGTGAATGCCGTTTCCCATTTGCCGATCATTTAAACACAACGAACCATGCGGTCGTCCAAACATTAGTGAATTCAATAAATAGCGATTTAGCGCCCAAAGCCTGCTGTATACCAACACAATTGAAACCAATATCAATGTTGTATCTGGATGATCAGAATAAAGTCGTTCTGAAGAGTTACCAAGATATGGTAGTGGTTGGTTGCGGATGCCGGTGAAATTTCGCTTGATTTGCGTTTGATTGACTTTTAATAGCACATCGAACTGAAAAAAACAACGAAAAACAAAGACAAAATTTAAACCAAATTGAGGAAAACATATCCCATTCACTCAACACCACAAGTCAACAATGGAATTTTATTGTTTTTCTCACTCACACACTCTCTCACTCTCACTCACTCCACATGCTTTGCTCGCTCTTGCTCTATCTCTCTCTTCGAGCATGAGATCCGCAAATCGATATTCGCACATCTATCTCAATTTCGTTTATAAAACGTTTGCAAACACACGTTTTCATCAAACACACAAGCCATAAAACAATGCGTGATACCAAATTTATTTTATGGAATAAACGTTAACTGGCGTCTTGGATGGATGAAATGTGCCGTGTTTGAATTTCCGTTCACCTGACATTTTGGTATTTATATATGAATAGTATAAATAGATTGCTAATTGTCACACACACACATACACAAAACATTAACACACAAAACTCATGCACACATACACAAACACCACCGTGATGAGTAGAGTGAAGACCTATGCATTTGAAAGCCAACAGGAGATGTGAAGAAAAACCGATAGAATTGTATCACTTAATAGTGTCGCAAATATGAATAGAAAGAGAAAAAAAAAAACAAAATACTTCTACGCACACATACACACAATATATCACATGTGTGCGTGTGTGTGTGTGCAAGCAAAAAAAAGAGTAAAATCGAAACGACATAAAAATGACCCATGTCTACTGTGTAGCTTTGTAACCAAATCGGCTCAGCCAAATAATTAATTAATGTTAGCACTTACGCAAATATGAATCGTCCATGGGGACGAATTCGAATCATTGTAATTCTTTTTTCTCTGAATTGATATGTTAAATACTGAGTCATTTCAATAAATATATTCCGAAGAAATTCATTGCATCAAGTAAGAACACGAGAACCTACCTTTTTTTTTCGCTGAACAAACGATTCGCCAATATTCGATACTTTGATTGAAAGAGAATGGCTTTTCTAAATAACAAATATGTTATTGTCATAGTTGTGATTTAAAAAAAAGTATCTGAATTTAAGGTAAAAAGAAGTTTTCATCGACAAGAACAATTCGTGAAGCTCCAAATTTGAAAGAAGAAAACTGACTTTTTGCTGTCGTTGTAATGTGGCGAGAATTATTGTATCGTTTGACTTGTATTACGCATGTAAATAAAATTGTTCATAAAAATTTCGTTTCACATTTTGTTCGCACATTTTACGATATGTATCTCATTGAACGACTCGATTATTGTTGAAAGTTTGTGTTCATTGAGGCATCCAGAAGAAGAATTGCGGTATGATAGTTCCAGTGTGTGTATGTAAATAAACGATTAAAAAACAAACTTTCAGCTCGATATTAGTACGATTTAAAATGAATCAATATCGATGGACCAAGTGAAAATGTTGCACTCGATTTTCCTGTGCAGTAGAAAATTAAAATAAGTAGAGATCAAAACCCTTCAAAGAACACGCAATAAAAAAAAAAAAAAACAAACATCAACATATATTCTTAGAAATATCCATTTATAGATTTATCTTGATTCTTTTTTATCGACGAATTCATTGCGAAATTGTAATCAATTGAGAAACGTGAGTAATGAAGAAAAAGAAAAAGAATAAAGAACAATCAAGAGAACCAATTGTCAACACCATCAGAAATGAGATTAAGACATACTTCTTTTATTACAATAATAAATTTGTAGGTATATAAATATATAGAGATATTCATATGGAATGTAAAATAAATAGCAATAAGACGAAAAACATGTTATATATAGTACCTGGATAAGGACATATTTATTGCATTAAAAAAAAAATCTGTAACAAAACCTAAGTGAAATCTGTGGCGTTTTCTATTGTTATTTGGCTCTTTTTTACAGCGATCGAGGGGATTTCTCTCTCAGATAGGTGCAAAATTCAAAGGTAAGCTTTAGAGGAGTATGATCTCAATGGGTAACAGTTTTCATGTTTCAATTTGAAAATGTTACAAAATGTGTAGGAAAATGTACGAGCTTCATGTAAATGGTGCAAAAAAAATTCCATAGTAACATCAACGGAAAGGCCGGGAAAATGAGCAATGAATAAAAGAAGAAAAAAGCGAATACAACGGCCGCCCATGGAGTATTCTTATTGAACGTATTCCTGTAGACATAGCGACCATTAGCTGTCCTCCTTTTAAATCATACGCGTGCGGTATGCTCAGATTTTTTTCCCTTGTGCTATAGGATACTTCTTTTGTGTTTGTGTGTTGCATGTGTGTGTGTGTGTCTGTGTGCTTGTAATTCCTTTCTTTGTGTTCCCGTGCTCATGTCTCGTTTGCTTATGATCAAAATCATGATGAGAAGAGAGAATCAAATGTTGTGCGCTAAACATGAAACAGCCAATTTAATCTGTAGCTCACCCGCTCACTCGGGCTAGTTGAGCTATACGGTGGTGGTCGGTTGTTTCGTGCACAATGTGCGATCCGCAGGTCATCGGCTTTCCACGACTATATAATTGATCCACAAAAAAAAAGGCAACAATATATTTCTTAAGAGCAAAAATTATTGAAATATTATGTTAATGGGAGTCGTCGCATCAAAAACCTTTCGTGTTCTCTATACCTTCCATTCATTCTCTTTCTCTTTCTTTGACTCATATTCTTTGAAATGCCTTGTTGTCTGTGCGATGCTTTGCCGAATAAGGCATTCACAATTCATGCGATAAGTAATGTTTAAGTGCATGATGATTTATTCTTGATAAACGATCGTAATTTAGTTGAATTTATGCCAGCGATGAAATCCACAGTACACGATTATTCAGTGTAGACTAAGTGAAATCACACAATATATGGATTAGCATCACAAGGACAAGATTATTTGAATAAAATTCTTTAATTCCACTTGTATAGAGTAAGAAATTCGAACAAAAAAAATTTGGGACGGAAAACGTTCATTTTTCCGTTTTTACAATTAATCATACAATTATTTAATTAAGATGATATTGATGACAGTTTAAGGGTGGTCCATGATTCGTTTCATATTAATTTCGTATAAATATTACATGAACTGATAAAGATCAAATGGTAGTGACAAATATTAATGAATAACAACAACAAAAACACGCCATGAAATTTGTTTAAATATCCCAGTCCACACAGGTCAGCTTACTCATTCGTTTAAGTTTCTCATGCCTCATCATATCGCCTTAAATCTTATTTGAAGAACCAAATTGAGTTATTTAGGCATATCTTTTTTTTCTCTCTCCCGCTCTCTCTCTCTCTCTCTCTCTCTCTCTCTCTCTCTCTCATCTCTCAATCGCGAGCGGACACACAACGCATCCCGAAAAAACAAGAAACAATGATTCGATGCCAAGCTAGATGGCCTGCAGACCAGAAGCACTCGATTAACCGCAATCGGACGGACAAAAAACAACGAAACATTCTCGATTACTACGTCGAATTTTCGAATGCATCAACATCTCATGTCTCTCCTCTCCTCTCTGTTTGTTTTGAACCAAGAAAAAATGTTTCACGGCTTGTAAGGTAATTTTTTCCTTCAGTTTCATTTTTGTCTTTTCCTTTTTGGGATGCTCTTCGCTTCGTTTCTATTTAAGATCAAATATTTCCGATTAACGATTCAACTCTTCTAAAAGAAACAAGATTTTGGAGTGCAACTTATGGAGAAGATGGAATCTCGGGAGAGAGTGAAAAAAAAACTTGCAACTAAACGAACGGGAGAATATAAAACGAACGAACGAAGGGAAAAAAACCAAAATCAAATTCATTCTCAGATAATTATAACTAATATAGAAGGATACAACAAACACACGCGAAACAACGAAATTGGACTGGAAAAAGTGTGCGTTTTTCGGTTGGTTTCAATTTAATTTATACGAAATATGATGAAGAGATTGAATGAACGTGCAGTTGGTTACTAGTGTTGCGTATCTTTGTATAATTTACAATCTTGAAGTTCGCGTAGTGGACCAAAAATAAAACAAGAAGGATCGGTGAAATACAAGGAAAGAAAAAAGAGCAGTGATTGTCGTTGGTTTTGTTGTTGTTATTCTCTCGCCAAATGATCATTTGGTTTGTTGTTGGCACTGTTTGTGCTGTGTGTGTGGCTATGCCATTGGGCACACAGAAATTGAAACGATTTCAAACGAAACGGGTCACATGAAAATGCCCACGAAGAGAAGGAGTATTCTGTTCTCTGCGCAACGTTGATGATTAAATTTCCATCGCCGTTTAAATGTTTTTACTCGCGAATATCCCAATAACTAGTTCAGAAACATCACAGGAAGAGAAAAAAAAAATCAAATCTTACACCAAACATTTTCCCCGATTTTTATTTAATATGTGAAATAATCTGTGAAAAAGCACAACACATCAGCAGTCATAGTGGCCATTGGCTCCCTATATCTCTCTTGTTCATTCACATCATCTAAATGTAGCAGCAAAAAAAAGCGCGTCGTTCACATGCTACACATAAAATCTCAGCGCTATATCATTGAATACATCGAAGCAAGCGAATCGTATGATGCTCACTATGCTTTGAAAATGTTCGTGAATTTATTCGACGTTTTTTTGTTGTTGCTGTTGTTATTGTAAATTCATCTTGTGTTTTTTTTTTGCTACGCTCTTGCTTCGTAGGTATGGTCATTCGCTCATTTTGCATGATGTATTTATTTAGTGATTTTTTCCGTCGTTTCTCTCTCTCTCTCTCTCTATCGGTGTGCTTTCGTGTTCATTTTGTTGAAAAGCAATAACATTGACGTTAACATAAGCATGCGGCACACACAAAAAGCCACAGCTAAATGTATGTTTGCTTAATCGTGATTTAAACACGATGCGCTCTCTCACAAGCAAGAATGTTGTGAAATTGAAAGAAGATGTTGATGTCGTTTATGTCGGCTGCTGAATGGCAAAAATGCACCAGCAACAGCAGCAGCATCAGCAAAATGTTTAAAACTGAGTAACCACCCGTGAAATTGCGATTGAGTTGCGAAACTTTTATTAGTTGCATCGGGTGAGGTGATTTGATGTGTGAGTGTACAATATATTTATTGATGAGACGTAATGGAGAGTATGTTTCAATATTAAAACTTTGAGCTGATTAATTTTTTAGCTTCAGTTACATTAAAATTCATGTGCTTATTTAGTCAATGACGTCAGAACATGTGGTTTATTCGATACTGTGGGAATCTAATTTCCCATAAAATCCATTGCATTTCTCACCAATAACATGGCACTTCTACGAGTATGTTCAAGTATAGCATATTTCTGTAACGTAGTATTCGTATATGTTCGGCATCGAAAAAGATGAAAAAAAAACGACAATATCCGCGCACGATAATGAGTTGCCAAAAAGCGCCGATACAGATACAGATACAAATACACATACCAATATTCCCAGCAAACCAGAGAGAAGATGCAAAAAAAAATAAATCGCGAGCTCAAGAAGAACGATAGCAGCATCTACAGCGGTAACAGCAGCAGAATCATCAACTGCGGGAAACCCACCCAGGTGTACAGTAATTTATTTTTCAACGCATAAAATAGTGGAGAGAATCGTTCTTGTCTTTAGTAATATTTATCGCTTTGGCTGTTTCTCGTTGAGATGTAGATTTTTTTTTCTCTTCAGTTCTTCGTCTCTTCTCTCTGTCTCTTGTTTTATGCGCACGATATCTGTTTCCATGTGTTGTTTGTATGTGTGTGTGTTCTTTGTGTGGCCAGCCACATATTGTTTGGTTAGAATTTTTCACGGTAATGCCAATGTAGTTTGTATTGGAGCTGCTGATATATTCAAGTCAATAAGTCAATGATGAATTTCAGTTTGAGAAAAAGAGGTGGATTTAAATTACCACGCCTGCCCAATTGCTCATTTATTGTGTAGCGTTGTTCGGTAACACAATGCGCTGATCTCTCTCAGTCCGTACGAATGCATGTAAATATATGGATTCGTATTGTCCATACATTTTGTCTATCGTTTGAGATTCCTTAATCGCGTAAGATTGAAACTAGTCAAAGTGTCTACTTGATGCGAACAAATGACGATGCTGCTGCTGTGGCTACGGCATTCGGTATCAAAATTAGAATTGAAGGCGATGAACATTACATGCATTACGTCAATATTCAGCTAACCCGTGTGTGGAATAATGAAGCGATAGACTTTAAGGTTCCAATGAAAGAATGTTAAAACCACACATGCAGATAAAAGTAAATCAATATGCAAGAATATGTTGTGAGGTGCTGCGGGCGCATAATTCGTTTGTTCGGAAGACACTGAGGAACCATTTTTGTTGCGTGCTTCCCTCTTGCTCTCCGCTGCTCTCTCTTTTTTTCTTTGTCTTTCTTTCTTTCAAGGCATCGACAAACCTTGCATAATATTGCATTGATTGTCATTTTTGTTTCAGCTCGGTTTAGCGAGCATCGACAAAACTCTGAAGCTATGAAGCCTTCGATGAATTTTGCGGTTTTTTTTCCAGTGCGCAGTTGAAATGCATCTTTTGCTAGTTTTGCTGTTGCTGTTGTTGTTGTTGTGGCGGCTCAAGACACATCGATGATTATTATATGAACATTGACTTAATCACCATCACTCGCACGCTCTCTCGCATCACATTCCACTTCAATTAAACGATTTTTCCCATTTCGAACATGCTACCGATTACTTAGTGACAGCTTAAAAGAGGCAGCAGCACAACAGCAAAAAACATACACACACACACACCATTCAATAAGTTAATTTATAGAAAATATTGTTGAATGGCAACCGAATGAAAATTGCCGAGTTAAGCGTATGAAATCTAGCGACGGATTGACAAAATGGCAGTAACAGCGTTTAAATTATTGTTTACGGT